CCCGGCAAGCCCGGCCGGGGCCGAGGCCGCTGCGGCTTCTAGCCCGTCGCTGCCCCCACTTCGCTTCCTCACATCGAATCCTCTTTATTTCCACCCACTTAGCTCCTAAACGCCGCCAGTTCTCAGTGCGGGATTAGGTTCGCCAGGACGCGCTCGCTAATCGGATTAAGGCTGGGGATTAGCGGAGCGCCTCCACTGCGCTCCCACCCCCGCAGGGCTCGGCCTTCAGAGCAGGGGAGCTGGCCGTCGCTGCCCCCACTTCGCTTCCTCACATCGAATCCTCTTTATTTCCACCCACTTAGCTCCTAAACGCCGCCAGTTCTCAGTGCGGGATTAGGTTCGCCAGGACGCGCTCGCTAATCGGATTAAGGCTGGGGATTAGCGGAGCGCCTCCACTGCGCTCCCACCCCCGCAGGGCTCGGCCTTCAGAGCAGGGGAGCTGGGCCATTGGGTTTTGTGAATCGCAGTGGCAGGGCGATCCGGAGCCGGCGGCGAGCCCTGCTCGGCCCGCAGTGACACCGGAATAACGCCAGTGTTTTCCGTCGGCCCTAGCTGCCGCGGCCGCCCACTCCCGCCCGGGCTGAGGGGCAGGGAGGACAGAGGGGTGCGACGGGAACCGCGTGCCCCAAAACGGCCACAAAAACTTGTTTCTCTACCGTAGCCGGTGCGCAGAAAGATGCCCTCCCCTCCCCTCCCCCCAAAGAAGCGGAGCCGCTATTTTTAAAAGCTGCGCCAGGTGCCCGGGCCGCCGTGGGGGGCTCGGAAGGGGACAAGCCAGACTCGTTTGCACGCTGGGCTGGTGCCGTTTGGAAGCGGGCGGACAGTCACGCCACCGCGGCTCCCGGGGCTGTGTGAAAAACCAGCCTTTTACCTGTGAATCTGTCCTTGACGAACCGCCTGCTGCTCTCCATCCAGGGGAAGTTGAGGCTGCCAAGGCTGGGGACAGCTGGCATCGCGGGGATGGCGCTAGAAATGGGAGGTGGGACAGCCCCAGGGATGGGTCTGTGCGCTGGCACCCGGATCACTCCAGCTGGAGCCAAGCTCAGATTCACACTGTAAGATCCAGAGTCTTCAAAAGGCGCCCCGATGCCAGGGAAGGAGGCCGGGAGGGAAGGGTACGGGGCAGTCGTTCGGCTCACGGGGCTTCCCAGGTAATTTGTGCCGTCGGATCCTCTGGGGGCGGGCTGGGACGCGTTTTCCTGATCAGAACTGTTTAAAATCTGATCAATTCCAAAGCTGATGGGCTCGTGTTGATGCGGGGTCTGTGTGTTCGTTGGCTGATCCATCCTGGGTGAATAGAAATATTGGCTCCCACCTGTATGAATTCCCCTATAAAACGCTCGCTTTTCCTTACAGTAGATCCATGTAGGTCCGGCTGTCTGTCAGACTGAAACTTTGCCAAGAGTGGTCCAGCCCGACAGGCTCTGTGTCATCTTTTTTTGAACCAAACCTGGAGTTTCGGCGTCTCATTTCTGTCCTGCCGCTGCCATTGGCCGCGATAAACAAGCCTCTCTCCTCCCATTGGCTCCCGGATTTCAATAAAGGCCTAATTCATTGAAATAGGAGCTTAGGGACTGTTCCAAGGTGACATCATTTTAACAAACGAACAATAGGTCAAATTTATTAGCTAAGATAATGTGTGTCGGATATTACAATCGCATCTGTGATTGTTTGTCCTTAGAAATTAGCGATTTGAAATTTAACAAAGCTTTGCAATTACGAGGCAGTCCCCTCCCCCTTTTGTTTATTACCTAACATGCTAGTCGTACCGAGCTCCGGGCTGGGAATGACAAAACAGCCTCTCCCCCTCGGTGGATTAATTTAGAACGTAATGTAACTCTTTCCTATTGTTTCTGTTTATAAATGGTGTGCAGCGTGTAAAACACCTTCCTGAGAGGCGCAGAGGAGTACCGCTGGGTGTTTACCTGTTCATCGGCTCAAGTTATGGTTCTAGGACAGTGGACACAAAATTAGTCGGTTAGAGCGATTTTTAAAAATATATATAAAGGCGGGGAGAGTGGGGGTTTTAGGCTTTGAAGCCTAGAGTTGAATTGCCTTTTCTCCCACATGCTTTCTGATGGGGGGACTTTTTAATGCTCCATATATTAAGCACCGATTTAGGGAACGCTCCTGAAATCTTACCCTGTTGTGATTTATCTGAAGGCGAGAGACATGCGCGCCTCTATTTTTTTCCTGAGATTACTTATGGGGGGGTCATTAAATATATGCCCACAGAAACGCTACGTTTGGGGAACAACACTTCCCACCCGGAAAGAGAGAGAGAGCTCAGAGTAGGACTTGCTTTCGTGTGGATTGCAAAGCCCACGGATGCGCGCGGGTCAGAAGAGAAACAACCTCTAGACATCTTGGTTTGAAAGGGCTTTTTGCAAGCTGAGAATTTAGTTTAAATTTGCCTGGGAGGGTCCTATTCAGGGGCTAAATAGAGAGAGAGAAATGTTTCCTATTAACTGTATTGTGTGTGTGTGTTTACCTTGCACCTAGTTAATTACTATAGGGCCTCTGGCTTTTCCCCTGTGTTTGCGTTTTTACAAATTTCAAACAATTATTTTAGTCTGATAGAATATTTCTGTCTCTGTTTGAACGGCCGGCCCAATATTCGCGCGGGGCGGCCTCTCTTGGAGAGAAAATTAAAGGGGGGCCCATGTAAAATGCGAAGAGATTCCGTTTTTGGATTAATTTACGTCAACAAACTTCCTGCCGTACACCAGCGTTAAGTGAGTTTGCAGACGCTCCCTAACGTCCAAATTGGACTAAAGGCGTTAAAAATTAAATAACGTTCAAATGCATTTACTTAGTTTCCCTTTTATAAAGGGAAATGAAAACAGGGAATAGAATTTTCCTTTTAATAGAATGTAATAGTATTTGATCAGCACCTGTTAGGGCTGATTTTGTGATTTCAGAAAGCAGCGACAAGGAGAGAGTTTATTAGTTTTTAAAGCTTAGGATTCAATTACCGCAACACACTGAATAATTTAAATGGTAGCAGTAAATGCAAACAGACCTGTGGAGTTATTGGACTTATTGCATGGAAATGCTAAAGAATAAAGAGGGAGGGAGGAAAATAAATTAAAATCAGGGCTGTGTTCTTTTTTAAACAAACACAACCAACCAACGAAATAAAAAAGCCTCCTCTCCCCAATATTTGTTTCCTACCCTAAAGGACCGGTTTTTCTCCGCGAAAAGGTTCGAGGGTTTCTCCACTGCCCATGATCCGAATTTGTAGAGCTTAAAATAAAACAAAATAGATCAACCCGCCCCCCTTTTATTGCAGGGGTATTTTGTATTCATTTCCTCCAATCTCGGAATGTTTTGTTTTTAAGATTTTTCCCCCCAGTTTATTAAAAAATAGGAAAAAATGGCCCCATGCATTTTCCTTCCCAGTGTTACTTCAACGATTATTTAAAGACCCAACTTCAGACAGGTGCCGAAGCAAAAGGAATCTCGATGCGTAGATTTATGGACCGCACAGAGAACCGCGGAATACCAGCCATCCGAGGCCGCCTGTTTTATTGCTAACGCGGGCAGTTAAATCTCACTTCTTGCTCCTAAACGCGGGGCATTAAAAAGTGTGTCTCGGCCCCTTCCCCTAAGCAAGGATCCCCCATCCTGACAGCATGCAGATCCAAGCCCCTTTGTGAGGCTCTCCCGTGGAAGGTTTGGAGGAAGGCGAGATGCACTGGGAGACGCGCACACAAATAACCCTTTTTTCTTCTTCTTTTTCTTCCTGGCAGTCCATTGATCGCCCCGAAAATACCCCACAGCGGCTACCCAGGAGACTGGCACGCAACCCAACAGATGCTAATGTCTAGGAACGGGAAACTTGAAAAGCAGCAGCCCCGCATAGAACGGCGGTTTGTTAATTTCGGGTGGGTTTACAGGGACAGGTCAGGAGGGGGTGTGGAGAAGAGCGACTGGCCATTAGGAACTCTCTCTTGGCTGGAATCGCCCTTAAGACAGGTCCAGGGACCAGGTGTGGCGCCTGGTCTAAACTCGCTCCCTGCTGCTAAAGGTTCCGGAGGAATCAGGGGAAGGCGCAGCGCCTTGCGCGCTACTTGGGAATGAGCGAGCGCTGCTCAGGGCGAGCGACCCAGGCAAGGTGGGGTGAGAGGAACCGTCCACGTAGCGGGGTTTACTGGGAGGCGCGGCGGAGGCTGGGGGATTTTCTTTCGCTCCCAGACTCGGATGTTTCTGTCTCTAGCTGCCCCGCTGTGGCTCCAGGGTTAAAGAGGCGCCAGGTAAAATCCCGCGCCCAGGTGACTGTCGAAGCTGGCCGGCAGCCCCTGCCGCATTTCCGAACGAGCTTCGGAGCTGGAGGATTTAATATTTTAATGGGCCATTAGCCGTGACTCTGAGAAGGCTGGAGCGGGGAGGGCAAGGGGCGATTTAGCGGGGGGGCGATGGCCAGGCAGTTGTTTGCCATGGAGAGGACCGATCAATTAAGGAGACGCAGCTCTCCGGCTGGCCTCGGGAAGAGGCAGCCGCGCCGGAATCTGCCGGGTATTTCTTTCACTGCTAATCCGATTAAGGGGAAAATAGCCCCACCGCCTTGCGTTCAGCATCCCCCAGGAGCCTGGCTGCTCGCAGGCCTTTCCGACGGCGCAAATGGGGCTGGGACAGGTTCTGTTCCCCAGCCAGGCTCAGCTACCTGGCCGCGCCGTGCGCCCGGAGCGCAGGAATCCGGCTGGCGAAGTGGCCCCGCAGCAGAGCCAGTTACGGAGGCCCCAGAGGCATCTCCTCCTCCGGCCCCCCGACTTGCCCCGGCCTGGGAGGCGCCTAATTGGATTTTCTTCCCACTTGCGCTCGCGTGTCTAAGCGGCCTGATCATTAGGCTGAGTTTCTATAGAGTGGAGCTAATTGGATTTGCAGGCTACCAGCAAGCTGGCGTGCCCGCTTTCAGGAAGGAGCCTCCCAGCCCGAGGCCCCAGAGGCATCTCCTCCTCCGGCCCCCCGACTTGCCCCGGCCTGGGAGGCGCCTAATTGGATTTTCTTCCCACTTGCGCTCGCGTGTCTAAGCGGCCTGATCATTAGGCTGAGTTTCTATAGAGTGGAGCTAATTGGATTTGCAGGCTACCAGCAAGCTGGCGTGCCCGCTTTCAGGAAGGAGCCTCCCAGCCCGGGAGAGGCCGAGGAGGGAAACTTACCCCTCCTGGCCTGCCCCCCGGCACCGCCGCTCGGAGCCCCCCTTCCAGGCCCGACTCTGAATGGCCCGGGCGGGTGTTCCAAAGCCAGCCCCGCACGCGAACGAGGGGAGGGCGAAATAAATAAATAAAGTGACACCCAGTCCTGAATCAGGGCAGGCTTTGTTAGAGAAAATTGCAGCTTGATCTGCATAATGGGAGCGCGGGCTGCCCAAGGCTATCTTTTTATTGCGTGTGTGTCTGCTGTTATCAATTTTGTGAACGATTTCACAGGGAGCCTGGCAGACTTGAGCTGGAATAATATGCAAAGATGAGCTTTGAATAATGAATGATGTGCTTTTAAACCAATTCCAAAGTGTCTGTGATAGTACAATATGAAAAGGGCTGGTAAGTAATAGTGTATTTAAAAGGCGCTAGTATGTTTTTATTACTATATTTAAAAAGATATCTATATTATTTTTGTGAAACGGATAATCTATCACAGAGTCTTTGATAATCAGCTAAACAATACATTTTTCTTTGGGAAAACTCTCCTAGTTTTACACAGTTAAATATAGACGATCAGCACACAGCTTTGTAACGCTTGACTACCTTATTAAATATTAACTCTATTTTAATATTAGCTTTTAAATTTAATATGTTGACGTTCTGTACTTTTACTTTAATTATGTTTTATAATTAATAACCTTGGATGTATGGATTCCTTAAAGGCTGCTCTCCCATAGTCGATTTTTTGCTTTTCTTCTTATAGGTACGTATAATGGGCAAACAAAATTACACACACACACACAAACACACAACTATATGCATATCAAATTGTATTATTTCGTAAATACATATACCTGCTTAGTTTTTTAAAATTTTAAACCGTTCACACACTATCAGTATCTCTGTGTGTGTATTTATCTATACACACACACACAGACACACACATCATATAATTATATATGGCGTGTATATATGATATATGTGTGAAATTATATATATATATATATATATATAAATGTATGTATACATACACACATTTTATATATATATTGCATGTATATATTATGTGTATGATTATATATGTGTGTGTGTGTATGTACACACACACATACACTCACACTCATCTATATATACAAACACGTTATGTATTTTGCCTCTGCCAATAGCTACGGTAATTCGATCAAATCTAGTCTCACCTGACGGCTCCATTTCTACTCACAGGGCGACCTGGGCCAGTTTTTAGCAAAGCCAGACCAGCTCTTTAACTCCGGTTGTTACCAAGTTTCCACAGCCCGCGCGTGGAACGGCTCAGAAGTTGCCGTGGCTGCGGGGTGGGGTGTGTGTGTGGGG